TAAGTGAAACAGACATAGGGACAATGGGTGAATAGCAATGTTCAGACTGCAGTTAGAGGTTGAGTAGACTTTTGGCCTTTTTGTTCTGATTTTCACACTGCTCCTCCAGCTGCTGCGGTTTGTCTGAGAGTCTGCTATTGTCCTCTTCCGACCCTTTATGACCGGGCTTGCCTGATTGTTACTGTTTAAATTGGAATACATCTGTTTCATAATCATCAGCATCAGCTCCTGCGTCTGAGAACACTGTGGACAAACAAGGCCTTTTGACGAGAATTTGACAGGACAAGCCAATATGATTTGATTCTCTTCTCAGGCCTCGCTACGTCGACAAGTGCCAACAGGCTGCAGAGCTGATACTCCACGTGTTACAGCTGACGCACAAGTCCATTGATATTTCATTTAACTGTGTGGAGTGATGAAAAGTACACAAACACAATGCAGAACGAGAGAACAGAGGCATTCTCAGCGTGGTTGAAGATTTGTTTGGTTGGTATTGTTGAAGATTTCTTTTTCAGGGTAATTACTGTTTGTTTTTGCCACCAATGAACCCAGGGTAGCATGTGTGCCTTGTGTGTGGTCCATGTCCTAAAGGGATGTAAGCTTGTTAAAATCAACTGTCTATCTCTGGATCAGGCTGCCAAAATGTACGCCTGTTGGTTATTTTTTCTTTTACGTCACTTGTTTATAAATAACTGAATACAAAGCCTGATTGTAAATATTCCACATATTATAATAATAGTAATGCATAGATTTTTATGTAGCACTTTTTGGGACTATCAAAGACGCTTCATATGACATTATTCATTCACTCCCTATACAGTGATAAAGTAATTCTGTAGCCACAGCTGCCCTGGGGCACACTGACAGAATCAACGCAACCAGTATACTGTATGCCATCAGCCCATCCGAGCACCACCAACCATTCACACAACCACGGGTGAAGTGTCTTGCTTAAGGACACATCGACAGTTTGGCACTTTACAGCTGCAGTCGCCCCACTGTGGCACCTGCTGTTCCCAGATGTCTTCCATCAGAGTACTAACCAGGCCCTGCCCTGCTTAGCTTCAAAGGTCTGACGGGATTTGGATTTCTCATGCAGAGGGCAACACGTTAAACCTTACTGGCCATTTTTGCCATCCATAACAACATTGGTTGAGATGTTTTCCATAATTAAAGACTAATTGTCACATGGTGAAACAAAGGAACCACACAAAATGCAAAATGAAATTGAAAGGTCCAAGATAAAAACAAAGTCACACCCCCAGGAAACGGACAGACAACTTTGACAATACAGACCATCAACACAGGGAACAAGACAGGAAGTAAAACCAAAACAAAACTTCAGGATAATTAGTATCAAAATAAAACCAAGTAACCAAAATAACAACCAATCCACACCTTGGTACTAAGAAGCCAAACAAAATATATACCTAAACTTAGAACTCAATCAGTGTGTATCCCAGTGCGAGGAAATGTACTCTTTCGAACCAACTTTTTCTATTAAAGTAGTACATGAAGGAAAAAGAGTGATCCCCTCAGCACAGAGCAAGTAATGGGGGAGAGTTTTTATTTATTTATTATATGTTTTATATTATTTATTTGATAGTCAGTCAGCTCTCTATACCACAACTCACTTATTACACAGCTCTATTCAAGTTCGGACTAAGCCAGACTGATAACTATGCAACAAGTAACCAGCGCTCCGGAAGTAATTTAATGAAATCCTATACCAAAAAACAATTCTTGAATGGACCATGAAGCTAAAGTGGACAATCAGACTTGGGGCTGTCTGGTAAAGGCATTGCAGTTGTTTGTGATGGTGTGGTGAATGGCTGTGGACATAGTTGAATGTGACACGCGCTCAAAAGAGAACTGTTCTGATCTCCTCCACACCAGTGACATGTGCTGGTCCGTGTGCGGGGCAGAGGGGAGGGGCTGTCTGGGCAGCGTAGGCCCCACTGGCTCTGTGCTAAGGAGTGGGTGATGTCGTCTTAAAATGTCACTTGGCAGAGTTCCCTGCAGGGATGACCTCAGTGTAACCTTAAAGCATGTCGTCAGAAGATGTTTAAAATAGTTGTGTGAATTTGTTAAAAGACACGATATATTTTCTCCCTTTAAAGTTGTCAAAGCATTGTTAAGTAAGGACCATGTGGTTTGGCAGTTAATGTTACAATATTGACACAGTATTGATAGTGTAAGGGTAGTAGTGGGCCAATTGATCGACCACTTGCTCAATGCTGACGACATTAAGAACATGGTAGAACTTCATTACCTGCTGATAAGTGTGACAGGACTTACACACACCTAAATTATTCAACTTAAAGCTCAGGTACCTAACTTTTCTCTTCATAAAATAACACATTTTGTTTGTCAAAGTAAAATGTTGTGAACAGATCATGTTTGGCTGAAAGCTGATTATCTGAGAGAAGGTGGTCCTGTTTTCAACTTTTTGTCTGAAAAATAGGATCTAAATATGTGACAGAGACATGTTGTAAAACAAGTTACAGAACCAAACTGATTTGAGAACAAGGAACTAGTGACATGGATTCTATTACATAGTTGCAATTGTGGTGGTTTGAAAGTGACATGCCCCATCTTTAATGTCCAAAACCAACAGGAGAGGCTGTGGCACCATGTTCTTTGTATGTATGTGTCTGTTTAACAATTGTCTTAAAGTAGTTGGACATTCTTAAACGCTCTGTCTGTGTGTGTATTGCCATGCCTTGCCCCATGCTCTTCTCAGATGCCAACCATAATGGCCGTGCCAGGCAGGTGACGGTGATGCCAAGCTGGAATGACACACATCCATACGCACAGAGCTCTCCCTACAGACGCTCTTAATTAGAGCGCACCCGTCCCCCACAGTCCCCCTGGCAGCCCAGACAAAGGGAGACAACGCACTGGTTTGGACGTGCGCTTGTGTCTGAAGGGCCTATCTTTAGCAGATGCTCATACCTCTCCCTTCTCTCTGTTGGAGCAGAGCTGCTATCATTAAAGTGTCATTGAGAAGTGGCACCACTTAATTTTAGCTGCTCGCACTGGGGGCATGGAGGGAGACGCCAGAGACTGGGCGGGAGGGAGAGAACGAGGGAAGAAATAAAAAAGATATTCAGAGGAGCGCACAGAGGTTAGAGAGGAGGGATTAGCGAGGAGAAAGCTTTAACATAAAGTGAATCAAACACAAAGCTACAATAAAAACATGAACAAGATTGTACTGACTTACTGTTACAGCAAAGCTCACTTGTGTATCTGCTGAACTATTGAAATGTTTTACTTTCCACTATAAGCATTAGCGAGGACAACTCTTACTCAAATACTGACATGTTTTTGACCACACACTTTTAATACATGTCATTTTGTATGCTGTCTTTTTTGCAGCTATCCCAGGGACATGTGTCTCTTGTTGTGCCAATAAAGTCCACACCAAAAGTTGGATTGAGGATTACAGCGAGCGGTGCAGAGTGTATTTCTTCTCTGTCAGCAACTTCCCATACAACTAATCTAAACGCAGCTACATGAGACGATCAGGGGCTGCATCCTCGTGGCGTCGTTCCCAGTCTCCGGGACGACAGGTGAGAAGCAGCACTACATGCAGGATCCAGAAATAACTTCACGTAGGACTTCCGAGAGGACAGCCATGGAGAATGTCTCATGTGTAAAGTTTACAGACACGACACATTCCATATCATTTCTCAGGATATTACTTTGGAAGAGCCAAAGTTTGCAAAACCTTTCCTTTGAATAAGTATTTGACTTTGATGAAAAATTAATCCAACCAATCCCACAATTACTAAATTACATACTTGGAATATCTGTGGGACCTCACTTTTTTCTTCATAAATATAAAAGTTTGTGTATCCCAACAGAAAAAGTCATATAAAAGTGAACGTGAACATCTTATCTTTTGCATACTTGACTCTTTGGACTGAGATCTGATTGGCTGAGTGAGGGTGGTCCTCTCTACGTTTCTGTCGGAAAAAGCTGATCAAAAAATGTGACAGAAGCCAATTTCATCACATCGTTCAATCTTGTAAATAATGGCTTCTCCAGCTTTAAGTCCATGAAATAAAGGAAGAAAAAACGAGTTACTATGCTATATGCTCTCACCTATTTTTAAAAGTGCATTCTGTTTAGTTCATGTTTTAGATGTAATACCGTATGCACGTTTTAGAGTTTCCGTTTGCACTTTTTAAGTATCATATCGACCTTGAACTCAGCATCCCGCCCCGCCCCTCCTCCTCTCCATTAGTCTGTCTGCCTGATGTGTTAGTGAAGTGTTCGCACGCTGTCGTCATATTAAAGCAGGTATAGACTTGTTAACACTTTCTAATACGCTCGACACCGTCTTCTATTTAGGCTGTGTCTGCAAGGCCCATGTTTTATTATGGCACATGGCATACGCACACTATCCCACGAGCTGTTACTTCACCAAAGGGACTTTATGAACTTTAAAAATGTATTTTCCCCTGCCGACATTCAGCTTCTTTTCAGGATTCATCGCTTTAAACTGGTGAATAGGATTAACTTTTCTACTCACTAAGCACATACTGACTCTACAGTTGAATGTCTGAGAAAAAAAGTTATACATTTAAAACATAGAGAAGTGATGTAAGATATCAAAATATCAAAATGTAGACATCAAACAAAATTAAATATGTGTACACGGTTTAAAAAGAGATTGGATGAAGAAAACACTTTTCCTGTTACACATTCAAGAACAAAACACACAGTTTGATACAGTTTATTTTTGTACACAACCACTGATGGTACAATATAGGACAGGAAACACACACACACTTTTATACATGCCCAAACACTTTCTGACCATACACCACCCCCCCTCACTACTTGAAGAAATACTAGCAGCCCTCGGCATGGAGCAAGTATTATGAACTTTAAAAATGTATTTTCCCCTGCCGACATTCAGCTTCTTTTCAGGATTCATCGCTTTAAACTGGTGAATAGGATTAACTTTTCTACTCACTAAGCACATACTGACTCTACAGTTGAATGTCTGAGAAAAAAAGTTATACATTTAAAACATAGAGAAGTGATGTAAGATATCAAAATATCAAAATGTAGACATCAAACAAAATTAAATATGTGTACACGGTTTAAAAAGAGATTGGATGAAGCAAACACTTTTCCTGTTACACATTCAAGAACAAAACACACAGTTTGATACAGTTTATTTTTGTACACAACCACTGATGGTACAATATAGGACAGGAAACACACACACACTTTTATACATGCCCAAACACTTTCTGACCATACACCACCCCCCCTCACTACTTGAAGAAATACTAGCAGCCCTCGGCATGGAGCAAGTATTTCCTCAGTACTTCTTTCTAAAATAATCCATTTAGAACATGCATTTCATTCATCTGTTAGATTGCTCCAAATGTTCTTCACGCTGGCTCTACATATTATAATAATACTTGTTTTTATTTCCTTATTCTTTATATTTATGGTATGCATCTCTGTCATGGAATTAGTTTTGTTCTGTAGGTGGCAGTTTTGAGATTGAATAGAACTTTTTATATCATTTTTCTTAATATTCTTTTTAATTTTCATTATTCATTCAATATATAAAAATTATGAAAATATTAAGTGTAGGAAACATGCAGTTAAGATTCCAGAAGAAGAACACAACATTTAAAAGCGTATTTTATTGATAATGATAACAATATAAATAATGCAAAAGGTTTGTAAATGTTTGGACACTCAAAGACTTCACTTCGCATTATCCATTCACACTGGTAAACTACTATTGTAGCCATAGCTGCCCTGGGGTACACTGACAGAACTAAGGCTACTAGTCTATGCCATTGGCCTCTCTAATCCTCAACACAGACACACACACACACATAATTCACTCAACACAATAATTCACTTATGATGGACCTATTATCCCTAAATTCAGATCAAATGAATCAATATATTAATTTCTGTCTATATCTATATCTATATCCATATCAAGCTATAGTGATCACTTAAAATTAAACATTTCTCGAAGGCGTTGCACATATGTGGAACTCACCCCAGATTTGTGGATATCCGAATGTCTCTCTCCCGCTAAAATCACACCGACAAAACGTACATCGACCGGAGATAAATCACAAAAAAGTGGTCATTTATCTTTAGCGACTCACCTTAAAAGACAAAATTAATTCTCCCAATCCTTCAGACCAATTTTAATGTTTAATATCAACCCTCTCAGTCATGTTTTATTGCACACTTTCCTCTTGTCCTTGTCGCTGCACCTTCACTTTTCGCATGTGGATCCGTGGGCTCTATAGGTTGTTCTCCCGTGTCCTCTGAGCCTCCGTGTCCTTTCAGATCTGTGCAGCCTGTTCTTTGACTCACCTTACGCCTGCCCTTCCCTGTATGTTTTACCTGCTGGGGCCGTGTCTGCTCTAATATCACTGCCGTGCACTCACTGAAGCAGCCATAGACGCTTCGCATGGGTCTCCGCGTGCTGTTGGCTCCCATTAACTTCTGCTGTTAAGTGGTCTATACACACGCTCAAACAATACACACACTTCTACGTTGCTTTTTGTACAGCTGAAACTCTGAGATTAGATTATTGTTCAGAAGTTCATTTATTTCTGGAGTTGAATTTCAAACGTAAAAACAGTACATGATTTAGACTTATTACATGCAAAGTGACAAGCCTTTTATTGCTATAATGTTGATGATTACGGCTGATATTTAATTTTGAAAAAGTTCTCATTTTCGGAAAGGTTTCATTTGGGGTTTTTACAAGTTGTGAGCCAATTAGCGAGATTAAAACAAATAAAAGCTTGACATATCTCACTTTGATTGTGATGAGTCCGTCATAAATAAGTTACAGTTGTAAATTTGTGTTATTGTGGCAACTATTTTCTCGAGCGTAACTTCTTTGTTAATATGATGTCATATTTAGTTTGTAATTATTTTACCTTAAATTTATTCATTCCTTTGATAGGGACAGCAGTCATTATTGAACATGTAAATATTGTCTACAGATGCCAGATTATATACAGTACATCTGTGATTCGAGTATCTAGAAATGTTTTGCACAGTCCTTTTCATCTTTATGGAGGCCTGATGTACAATTTACGTTTAACATTTAAATAACAACTCAATATAATCATTTGAATTGCTTTAATAACTATTTATTTTTGTTGATTAACGTTCATAATTATAGTTTAATTGCTTAAACTGTGTTTCAAAATTCTCCAATACTCTCTAATGAAATTATTGGCAATTGATTATTGTAACACAAAGTTTTCACGGTCCTGAATTTCAAACTTGATATTGATACTAAAAACTATATTTTAATTGCAAAATGTATTCCACATTGATTATTTATAAATGCTCCTTTGAAAAATAAACTGTATTTTTAACTCTTATTTTTTATGGGGCGGCAAGGTTTATACAAGTTTTATTGATATAGTTTAACATATATTTCAAAGTGCTCAAGATATGTCTAATTTCACTAGTGCTGACACTTGCTCAGATTAGATCGTAATTTTAGTTCTGTTTTTAGTATATTAAATACTCTTGACAATTCTCAAAGTTATTAACCAATCCAAAATGCAACTTGAGAATGTGAAGGTGAAATGTAGTCACAGCAGTTTTCTAGATTCTGTCTTAAAAGTTGCCATTTCAGACACAAATCCAAACGACTAAAACTTCCCAAACCGTGCCTTAAAGACAATAGAGTTTCCAGACAGAGTTGTGAAGGGAAATGAGAGTGAGGAGCCAGTCCGGCGCGTGCAAGCGGATGAGGAGGAGTGAGGCCCTCTTCATTTATTGCTCCAGTGGAGAAGAACGTGGAGCTCTCTAATGGGCGCTGCTGTGGTAATAACAATAAAAAGCAGCAGAACTAGAGAGGTTAGGACAGAGGGGGACATATAAAGCATGATTGTTTTCTTTCTACATTTCCATATTTCCCATCTCGTCCTGTGCGTTGTCTTGGATCTGCTCTCTTTCTGCCACACACACACATGCACATGCACACACACACACACACACACACACACGCACACACGGGCCTCATTTCGTGCTCCTTTCTTCTCCCCGTCTGTACAGTGTGTGTGCTGTGGGCGCTGTATGTCCTTGCTCTATGCTTTGTTAGGCAGGGCAGTAGCGCCGCTGTAGCTGCTGTGTCAGGGGTTTCTATTGGTGGTGATTAATGTATGGAGATGGACTGATCACCACCAGCCACCGGCGGCACTGTGCAGCCCAGAAAAAGCCACTGGAGTTTGGGGTTTTTTGTGTGCTTGATTATTTGAATAGTTTACAAAGTGTGTGTTTTTTATGATTGGGCGGAACGAGGTAAATTGCCATATATTACAGCTATAACGTGAATAATTCTTGTTTTATGTAGTTGAATTCGAGTTGTACTTTTTGTGTATTCACTAGTCTTTAGAGTGTTTCTCACAGTTGGACTAGGAATCACTGCATCACCCATGTAATAAAATATTCTTAATTAGAATGTTGTATTAAATCCAATAAAACTGTGCAAACCACTTTATAGTAAACCCAAACTTTACAGTCTATGACCCAAACAAAGCCAAGACACAGACAGTCCAGATTATATTACTGTATTTATTATAAGTGGTGTCCAATCTGCTTTTGTATATGGCAAATGTTGTTGTTCTTGTGCAATGCTGTGGACATAATTTAAAGACAATATATCGCACTAAATTTTGTTTATGGGGGACTAGTTTGAAGTTGATTACTCTTAGCTTTGAGAATCCTCTAAACAGCAGACAAACACTAAATAAAGCTGCAAACACTTTGTCTAAAATAACAAATCTGTCTTTGGGGATCAATAGCCACAGCTCCACACTTCCACTCCGCTAAAAATAAAGGAATCTTCATAGCAGCACACACTTTAACACAAGGGTATATTTAACAGACATTATCAGGCCAGGGGTGGCCTCATTACTTCAGCTCTTTATGAATGAAAGTGGAAAGTCGGCAGGGTGGAAAGGCAGAACTATAAAATAAAACACTTCGGCCAAAACAGTTGTTGTTTAATGAGCGTAATTAACAAATACAATTGCTGCACTTTGTGAGGACCAAATGGTGTGCCAGCTTGGCATCTTTGCCCACCCAGCGTAGTGCGTGCTGTCATGAGGCCGTGGAGACTGTGGATGAATGAGCGTTGGGGAGAAAAGGAGCGCGCAGACTTCTGGTGCTTCCTGTGAGAGTCAACGCTCCGAATGACCACACACACAAACCTGAGCTCCTCCACAACTTTACACCTCGCCATTCATCAGCCATCTCAGGGAGCTGCCCGCAGTTCCACTGGCTGGTTTAATTGTTAATGCTAATTGCTATTTATTGGCTCAGATGCAAATGAAAGTGAAATTTTATGAGGAGTGAACTCCCCCTCTCGCACAAATTGAAAAAGTGAAACAAGAGGAAAGGGGAAATGAGGCGCGAAGAGAAGGGCTTAATGGCACCACTTTAATGGCAGAGAGCAAAAATTAAGACTGATTTAAGACACTGAGCTAAATCCCCCCAAAATCCTGTGTGATCCCCACTCAGGGAGGCACTCATTTGGCACGTGAGGAGAGGAGCGAGGAGAGAGAGAGGAGAGAGAGGAGAGAGAGGAGGCAGCTCCGGGGCTTAATACAACAGGAAGCTTATGAACTGGTTAATTGTTTGACTTCTCATGTTGACACAAGAGTAAACGGGAACAGTGGCTTATAATTATTATTTTATTATCTTAGTAATTGCATCCACAACTGGAGATAAAGAAAGTAGAGGTTTTATCACTGTTTTGTCATTGATATCTTTATTTACTCTGACTAACACCTGGATAAAGGTGAGTTAAAGGTAGCTTCTCAGGTAAATATACAGTGTGCACTTCATCATTGAAAAACACTAGAATATTAAATTAGTGTGTATCTTATGGAGAGTGACTCCGTGTGGAGGTCAGTGCTGGCCCCGGACACCCCACAGTTGGCATCCTATTACCAAGTTAGCCTTTACTTCAACACTGTTCAGTCTAATGCACTTAAGTCTATGCTCTATGCACATTATCTTAATGTTCAGGCTTTGTGGCCTTGTGTGACACTGCGCTGTCCCCTCTTTTCAGCTTTTGTTTTCTGTCCAGCTGCGGTGTCCTCTCTCTCGCTCCATCACTCTGTCTGATTGAAGCCGCTTCCCTCTTTTCTCAGGGTGTGATGGCCCCCACCAATTAAAGACCAATCTAATCGCGCCTTTGTTTTTGTGGGAGGTGAGCCGTATGTGGTGTGTGGCTGCATTTATATGCGTATACAGTATGTATGAGGGCGCGTGTGTATGCATGTGTGTGTGAGATGGGAGATCTGAGAGGTTAATGCAGTTAGGGTTATTTCACAGTCCATTAAGAAGCTTATGTTGACCCTCTGACCCAGACGCCAACACACTATAATGACAATGGCACAAACGTAGTTCGGCAGGCATCCATACACAACAAAGAAAACACCAAGTTTGCATTAAGCAGTTCACATCAAATCACTTAGTCCTCTCATCGTGTAATGCTCTTTACCAATATGTTTTATGCAGAGAACAGGAAGGACAATTGAGTGTGAGAAAGTGGAGTTGCTGACAGCTTAGTTTTTGAGGCGGTAAACATCTTCATTCAATTACATTAAAAGCAAAACCACAAAAATGGATGGAATTTCTCATACGATGTTAACCTGTTGATGAAATATTAATGCAATGGATGATCCCAAGTCTTTATAAGTCTTTATTTTCCGTGCTAACTTTAGAAAAACTTATCATAATACTGAAATATTATTGATGACATTACAAGTTTGTTGTTTGAGTTCAGTCTGACTCACATAAGGTACAGGGCTGTCAGTCTTTAGTCAGTTAGGCAATAAATTGGTAGACGGCAAAATTTTAATCTGTGAACTAATTATTTTTTGATGGGTTTTAATTGCATTCATTTGTGATTTTGTGCTTAAAATCGTCATTTCCTTTTTTTTTACCTCCCCCTTTTAGTCGACTAATCAATCCACCAAGAATTGATTTGGTTACTTTTTTCATTTAATTACAGCTTGAACGCCACTTTTATTTTATTCCAATGTAATTAATGTACTGGTCTTTCTGCGTCTGTTTCTCATCTGTTTATCCACTTATTTTCCTAACAGTGCTGCTCTGACCCTGACCCTCCCCTTGCTCCTCCATCCAAACCCTGTGAATGGATATTGATCTAAACACACTCTTCTGGCTCAAACAGCGCTCAGGACATCGTGTGGCAGATAATGAGGCGGCCGGAGTCCACACAGTCTGGACTCCTGCCTTCAGACGCACACGGGAACGATATAAGACGGAATTTATGACACTTTTAGCCACAGCCACGGGGGTTTTATTTGTAGAGATATGATGCACTTCACACAATGGTATATTGCTGTTTTAGTAGCAGCAGATGTAAAGCAATAATGACATCACATTTGTTAAAGTTTAAAGAGGGAATAAAGATTAGACGCAAATGCACATATTGA